TGGAAATTTAAATCTTTAGTTAGGCCAGGGATGTTTTCCTCAATTATTCCCTCAAATAAGTTGTCAAACTTATAGCTTTCTTTTTTCCCTCAGAAACACCATTTATTCTTAGGTATGGTCATTTTACATAATCCCATATTTCTTGGAGACTGTGTTCATTTCTTTTTATTCTTTTTCCTTTATCTTTTTTCTGATTGAGTTAATTCAAAAGCCTTGTCTTTGAGCTCTGAAATTCTTTCTTCTACTTGTTCTAATCTATTGCTTAAACTTTCCACTGCATTTTGTATTTCCCTAAGTGTGTCTTTCGTTTCCAGAAGTTCTGACAGTTTTTTCTTTATGATATCTCTCTCTAAAACATTTTTTGTTCATATCCTGTTTTTTTTGTTTGTTTGCTTTCTAGACAGGGTCTCATTCTGTAACTCAGGCAGGAATACAGCAGTGTGATCACAGCTCACTGTAGCCTCAACTACCCAGGCTTAATTGATCCTTTGACTTCTCAGCCTCCTGAGTAGCTAGGACTACAGGCATGTGCCACCACACCCAACTAATTTATATATATATATATATATTTTTTTTTTTTTTGAGACGGAGTTTCGCTCTTGTTACCCAGGCTGGAGTGCAATGACGCAATCTCGGCTCACCGCAACCTCCGCCTCCTGGGTTCAAGCAATTCTCCTGCCTCAGCCTCCTGAGTAGCTGGGACTACAGGCACGCGCCACCATGCCCAGCTAATTTTTTGTAGTTTTAGTAGAGACGGGGTTTCACCATGTTGACCAGGATGGTCTCGATCTCTTGACCTCGTGATCCACCCGCCTCGGCCTCCCAAAGTGCTGGGATTACAGGCTTGAGCCACCGCGCCCGGCTGATTTTTATATATTTTTTTATTTTTATAGAGATGGGGTTTTACCATGTTGCGCAGGCTAATCTTGAACTCCTGAGCTCAAGCAATCCACCTGCCTTGGCCTCTCAAAGTGCTGCAATTACATGTGTGAGCCACTATGCCTGGCCTATATCCTGAATTGTTTTTAAAGTTTCTTTATGTTGGTTTTTACCTTTCTGTGTTATCTCTCCTAGTAGCTTAACAAACAACCTTCTGAAACTTTATTTGGTATTTCAAAGATTTCTTCTTGGTGTGGATCCATTGCTGGGGAGCTAGTGTGATCTTCTGGGGATGTTATAGAACTCTGTTTTTTTTTTTTTTTTTTTTTATATCACGAAAATTACTTTTCTGGTTTCTTCTCATTTGGGTAGACTATTGCTGTTTATTATTCTTGAATTTAAGATTTATTTTTTCCTTCTTTCTTTCTTTCTTTCTCTCTCTCTCTCTCTCTCTCTCTCTTTCTTTCTTTCTTCCCTTAAGGATGTGCCTTTAATGTGTGTAGTTTATTATAGCCTAATTTGGTTCTTAGTGCTTTTAAGGTGAAGACTCTCTATGAGATCCTTGGTTATGGAGAGTCTTTGTATGATGGCTTCCTTAGATACTGACTGTAGAAACTATATTTGGTGTGTGGTTAAGTTCACTGTCTCCTATGGGGTTGGAATGGCAGAGGTCTCATGAAACTTATCCCATTCCCCTGTGGTGTGTATGTATGTATGTATGTATGTATGTATGTATTATCCCCCAGTATTCTATTTACTGAGCTGATGATTCAGGCCTTAGGTAAGTAGGAAATATTTTCCTGGGTAGAAACTGGTTGTAGCTAAAGCAGGTGGGTAAGTGCAATAGCCAATGGTGGGCAGAGATCCCAGCCTTGATGATGGTAGCTGGGATAGCTCTCAGTTAGATGCACTGAGGTCTTAACAGGGGAGTTCCTTTGACAGACCAGCAGGAAAGGTGTCTACTACCCAGACTCATTCCTGTCCCAGTGGTTCAGCTATTCAGATTAGACAGATACCCCTTTTCTTCTGCATGAATATTGATGTTCTACATAGAGAAGAATTGTGACTCTGCCTCTCATGGAAGCCTGAACCTGGAACTGAGAAATACAATGAGAAATACAAGGTTTGATTTAATTATTTTAATCAAAATTCAAAAATTCAGAATGCCTTGCCTCCAAAAAATCACAACTTTTCGCCAGCAAGAAAGCAAAACTGGATGGATAATGAGTTTGACAAATTGACAGAAGTCGGCTTCAGAAGGTGGGTAATAACAAACTCCTCTGAGCTAAAGGAGCATGTTCTAACCCAATGCAAGGAAGATAAGAACCTTGAAAAGGGGTTGGAGGAATTGCTAAGTAGAATAACCAGTTTAGTGTAGGACATAAATGATTTGATGGAGCTGAAAAACACAGCACAAGAACTTTGTGAAGCATACACAAGTATCAATAGCTCGATTGATCAAGCAGAAGAAAAGATATCAGAGATTGAAGATCAACTTAATGAAATAAAGTATGAAGACAATATTAGAGAGAAGGAATAAAAAGGAGTGAACAAAGCCTCCAAGAAATATGGGACTATGTGAAAAGATGAAACCTACATTTGATTGGTGTACCTAAAAGTGACCAGGAGAATGGAACCAAGTTGGAAAACATACTTTAGGATATTATCCAAGAGAAATTGCCCAACCTAGCAATACAGGCCAACATTCAAATTCAGGAAATACAAAGGGCACCATGAAGATACTCCTCAAGAAGAGCAACCCAAGACACATAGTTGTCAGATTCACCAAGGTTGAAATGAAGAAAAAAATGTGAAGGGCAGCTAGAGAGAAAGCAAATCATGCTTTTGGTGTTGTATCTAAAACCTCATCACCAAACTCAAAATCATGTAGATTTTCTCATATGTTTTCTTCTTTGAGCTTCATAATTTTTTATTTTGTAGGTCTATAATTCATTTTAAGTTAACATGTGTAATGAGTAAGATCTATGTCTAGGTTCACTTTAAAAAATTTTTACATATGGTTGCCTGATTATTCTAGCACTATTTGATGAAAAGACTATTCTTTCTCCATTGAGTTGATTTTGCATTTTTATCAAAAATTGTTTTGCTATATTTCTGACAATATATTTCCTGATTCTATTTATATATCCTATTTCATCAATCTGTATGTTTATTCTTTCGCTAATACATGCTGCTTGATTATTTTAGCTTTAGAGTAGGTATCAAAATAGGACAGTGTCGGCCAGATGCAGCACACTAGAAAATATCTATGAAACAAAAAAAGGTTTCTTCTCCCAAGATGGCAGATTAGAGACTTTCAGCATGCCTCAGCCACTTGGAAATAGCAAAATAGTACATGAAGATTAACTCTGTGAGCTTCAATTTAAAAAGGAACATGGGAATCCACTGGAATCATGAAGGACAGCTTGAGTGCTGGAAAGGAGAATGCCAGCAAACAGCTTCCATGATGGTGTCCAGCTGATAAAAGTGAAGCCCCAGTATGTGAGAGAGGCAGAGGGCCTCGTTCAAGCATGTGGAGCACTCAGCTTGCCTCTGTGAATCTCAGCATCCCAGGCTGTAGGAGAGCAATTTGTTTCTCCCAAGCCCTACAGCTAACTTGGGGAGAGGCTTGGAGATACTGTGAGTGAAAAACACCAGAAAGAGCTGCTGACATTTTCCTAGACCCAGGGCTGAGAGCAGGATGCCATTTTTAATCTGGGTGCATACAAAATCAGCCTGGGTGAGCCAGCACAATGGCCGGGCAGACATTTTAGTCCCAGGCCAGAGATTGCAACACTTGATCTGGAGCTGAGTAGGAGCCTACATAGCCAGAACTGAGGAAAGTGCCTCAGCAGTAGGCTCAGGAATCATATTCTCCTCTGTTGCAAGCCTAAGATGGGAGGAGAGCTAGTATAGCTGCAGTTTCTCCTGGGTGGCAGGACTTGCAGCCAGGGCCAGCTTGGTGACCTGGAACTGGTCTGTGTGTGCCATTGCTGGGTGCTCCATCCTGCTCCCCTGAGATAGTGGTGGAGCGGGGCCCTCTCTGCTCTATCCTTAGGCTGAAATCCAGGCATTTGGAGCACCTGCTTGCCTGGTCGAGAAGTCTGAATTTTCCCATCCTTCCTGGACATAGATCTTGGTGCAGCAGGCTCTCTCTGATCCATACCCATGTAGATCTGCAGGCATTTGGAGCACCAATTCACCTGATTCAGCAGACTTACCCATGCTTCCTGTGCAGAGGTCATCATGCAGTGGAGCTCTCTCTGCACCATGTTTCCAGGCAGATCTCCAGGCATTCAGAGCACTCAATCACCTGGATTACCAGCCTGACCCATTCTACCCTTTTTATGCAGAGATAATGGTGCAGTGGGGCTCTCTCTGCTCCACACCCAGGCAAATTTTCAGACTATAAGACTATGATAATCAAAACATTATAGTACTGATACAAAAACAGACACATAGGCTAGTGGAACAGAATAGTAGACCTAGAAATAAAGCCACACACCGACAGCCATCTAATCCTTGACAAAGTTGACGAAAATAAGTAATGGGAATGTTAAATTAAATATTAAATTAATGGTGCTGGGATAGGTGGCTAGGCATATGTAGAAGAACGAAACTGGGCCCCTACCTTTCACCATTCACAAAAATTAACGCAAGATGAATTAAATATTTAAATGTAAGACCTCAGCCTGTAAGAATCCTAGAAAACAACCTAGGAAACACCATCCTGGACATAGAACTTTGGAACGAATTTATGACTAAGTCCTCAGAAACAATTGCAAAAACCCCCCATATTCACAAGTGGACCTAATTAAACTAAAGAGAGAGTTTCTGCACAGCAAAAGAAACTACCAGAAATTGAACAGACCACCTACAGAATGGCAGAAAATATTCACAAACTATGTATCTGACAAAGATCTATATTCAGAATCTATAAGGACTTTATACAGTTGCACAAGAAAAAACAAATAACCCCATTATGCAATGGGCAAAAGACATGAACAGACATTTCTCAAAAGAAGGTATACAACAAACATATGAAAAAATGCTGCACTTGACTAATCATGAGGGAAAAGCAAATCAAAACCCACACCACTCAAAATGGCTATTTTTTTTTCCTTGTTTCAAGTTTTAATCAAAGCTTGTATATAAGGTTACTTTATTCCTGTATCTTCTCAATTGTTTCTTCCTTGTATTTTCCCTTTTCCTTTTCTACTTGGCGAGATTTGGCTTTCCGTTCAAGGATCTTTTTGCGGTCTTTGTCCAGTTTTAGCCTAGTGATAAAGGGTGGGGTGAATGCCTACATGGACAGTTGTGCCATTAGCCTTTTCCCGCTGCACCCGTTCAATGTAGATTACGTATTTCTGCCTGTAAACCTGGACTACTTTGCCAATCTGCTGACCTTTATAGTGTCCTCCTGCAACCTGAACTTCATCATCCTTTTGGATGGGCATGGATTGCACGTTGTACTTCTGTCTTAGCTCTTTGGAAAGAGGGGAGGACATAATCTTCCTGCGAATGTGGGAAGGTGCATTGAAATGCCTTTTGCGATTCTTGCTTCGGTCGGAAGTCACAAAGGGTTTGAACTTCATTTTGGCAGCTCCCGCTTAGGTGATGGCCGCAAAAGGGAAGAGAATTACATACCCAAAATGGCTATTACTAAGAAAGTTAAAAAACAACAGATGTTGGCAAGACTGTGGAGAAAAGGGAATGCTTATATACTGTTGGTGGGGATGTAAATTAATTCAGTCACTATGGAAAGTAGTTTGGAGATAATGAATTTAAAACAAAACTACCATTTGACCCAGTAATCCCATTACTGAATACATAACCAGAAGAAAATAGATCTTTTTACCAAAATGACACATGCACTCACATGCTTTTTACCAAAATGACACATGAACTCACATGCTCATTGCAGCTCTATTCACAAGAGCAAAGACACAAAATCAACCTAGGTACCCATCAATGATGGATTGGATAAAGAAAATGTGACACATATACTCTGTGGAATACTATACAGCCATAAAGAAGAATGAAATCTTATCCTTTGCAGCAACATGGATACAGCTGGAGGCCATTATCCTAAGCAAATAACGCAAGAACAGAAAACCAAATACTGCATGTTCTTACTTATGAGTGGAAGCTAAACATTGGGTACTCATGGACATGAAAATGGCAACAGTAGACACTGGGAACTATTAGAGGGGGGTGTGAGGGAGGGGACAAGCATTGAAACACTAACTGTTGGGTGCTATGCTCAGTACCCAGGTGGTGGGATCAATTGTACCCCAAACCTCAACATCACACAAGATACCCAGATAACAAACCTATACATGTACCCACTGAATCTCAAATAAAAGTGAACAAATAAACAAAACCCCAAAAAACTACCAATGAAAAAGGAGATATTAGTCAAAGGGGACAAAATTCAAATAGAAGGAATAATTTCTAGTAATATATTGCATATCATGGTGAGTATAGTTAATAATAATGTATTGCATATTTCAAAATTGCTAAGATTTTAGATTTTAAATATTCTCACCACATTATAAAGTAACAAGTGTGAGACGTGATGAAGATGAATATGTTAATTAGCCTGATTTCATCATTCCACAATGTATACATGTATCATAACATCACATTATACCCTATAAATATGTATAATTGTCAATTAAAAATAAAATGTTAAAATTTTAAAAGAAAGAAGAAACACAAAAGTGATAGTAATGGAGGAACTGAGGAATAAAAACATAAAACGCATAGAAAATAAATACCAAAATGAAATGGCAAAGTAATTTCTTATGTATCATTAATTATTTAAATGTTAAATTAAACAGAAGGGCCGTCTATGTGTTGGATCAAAAAACTTCATATTGTTAAAATCATTACACTTCCTAAAGTAATCTGCACATTGAATACAATACTTCTAGAATCTGCCTTTTTTTGCAAAAGAAAGCAAGCTGCTCCTAAAGTTATGGAATTGCAAGGGACCCTGAGTAGCTGAAACAATATTGAAAAAGAAGAGCAAGGAGGGAGATCCAAGATGGCAAAATAGGAACAGCTCTGGAGTGCAGTTCCCAGCAAGAGCAACGCAGAGAGTGAGTGATCACTGCATTTCCAAATGAGGTACTAGGTGCATCTCAATGGGACTGTTTGCACAGTGGGTGTAGCCCAAGAAGGGCGAGCAGAGGCAGGGTAGGGTGCTGCCTCACCCAGGAAGTGCCCCCAGAGGACCTCCCTCCCTCCAATGGAAGCCATCAGGGGCTTTTCCATCCACTCCAGCACTCCAGTTCATATACTGTGTTTCTCCTGCAGTTTTCACTGCCCACAAACCAGGAGATTCTCAGGCTGAAACACACCATGAGTTTCCAGCAGGGCTGTTTCAGCCAGCGCTATGGGTATCCGCACAAAAACACACAAATCTGGGTGGCCATTTCAACTGGTGCCTGGAATGCCTGGGAGACAAAGAGCCACCCATTCAGCTGAAAAAGAGGGGACTGAAAGCAGGGAGTCAGGTGATCTGGCTCAGCAGGTCCCACCCCTACAAAGACCAGCAATCTCAAACACTCTATGGTGAGAGTTCGCAGCAAGCACAGCTGGACCCAGGATGGTTCAGCTCTGTGGATGGAAGGGCATCCATCATTACTGAGACAGTCTACGACTACAAAGGCAGTCTTCCAGTACCGAGGCAGTCTGCCAGTACCAAGGCAGTCCACCATTACCGAGGCAGTCCGCCATTACCGAGGCAGACTGCCATTACTGAGGCAGTTCTAACTGTACCTCTGTAAACAAAACTGCAAGGAAGTTTACACAGTAGCTGGGCAGAGGCAGCTTAGCAATGCCTCTGCTGGCAGACTGTGACTAGACTACCTCCTTGCTGGGCAAGACATCTCTGAAAAAAGGCAGGAGCACATCAGGAACTTATAAATAAAGCTCTACCTTCCCACGTCAAGAGCACCTGGGAAAAGAGGTGGTTATAAGTTCTGCTGCCCAGCAGCTCTGAACGGAACAATGGAGCTCCCAGCACAGCACTTGAGCTCTGATAAGGGACAAACTGTCTCATCAAGTGGTTCCCCCAACCCAAATATATCCAAAGAGGCACCTCATAAAAGAGAGCTCTGACTGACATCTGGCAGGTACCCTTCTGGGACGAAGATAACAGAAGAAGAAACTGGCAGCAACCCTTACTGTTCTGCAGCCCCCATGTGTGATTCCCAGGCAAGCAGAGTCTGGAGTGGACCTCCAGCAGTCCTACAGCAGAGGAGCCTGTTAGAAGGAAAACTAAAAAACAGAAAGAAATAGCTTCAACATTGACAAAAAGGATGCCCACTCAGAGAACCCATCCGAAAGTCACCAGCTACAAAGACCACAGGTAGATAAATCCACAAAGATGGGAAGAAACCACTGCCAAAATGATGAAAACACCAAAAACCAGAACACCTCTCCTCCTCCAAGGGATCACAACTCCTCACCAGCAAGGGAACAAAACTAAATGGAGAATGAGTCTAATGAAGTGACAGAAGCAGGCCTCAGAAGGTGAGTAATAACAAACTTCTCTGAGCTAAAGGAACATGTTCTAATGCAATGCAAAGAAACTAGGAACCTTGAAAAAAGGTTTGAGGAAACACTAACAAGAATAACCAGGTTAGAGAAGAACATCAATGACTTGATGGAGCTGAAAAACACAGCACGAGAAGTTCGTGAGCATACACAAGTTTCAATAGCCTAATTGACCAAGCAGAAGAAAGGATATCAGAAACTGAAGATCAACTCAATGAAATAAAACAAGAAGGCAAGATTAGAGAAAACAGAGTGAAAAGAAATGAACAAATCTTCCAAGAAATATGGAAGATATTCCTAATCTACGTTTGATCGATGTACCTGAATGTGATAGAGAGAATGAATCCAAGCTGGAAAACACTTTTCAGGATATTATCCAGGAGAACTTCCCCAACCTAGCAAGGCAGGCCAATATTCAAGTCCAGGAAATACAGGGAACACCACAAAGATATTCCTTAAGAAGAGCAACCCCAAGGCACATAATCGTCAGATTCGCCAGGGTTGAAATGAAGGAAAAAATGCTAAGGGCAACCAGAGAGAAATGTCGAGTTACCCACAAAGGGAAGCCCTTCAGCCTAACAGCAGATCTCTTGGCAGAAATCCTACAAGCCAGAAGAGAATTGGGGTCAATATTCAACATCCTTAAAGAAAAGAACTTTCAACCTAGAATTTCATATCTAGCCAAACTAAGCTTCATAAGTGAAGGAGAAATAAAATCCTTTACGGATAAGCAATTGCTCAGAGATTTTTGTCACCACCTAGCCTGCCTTACAAGAGCTCCTGAAGGAAGCACTAAACATGGAAAGGAACAACAAGTACCAGCCACTCCAAAAACATACCAAATAGTAAAGACCATCAAGAAACTGCATCAACTAATGGGCAAAACAACCAGCTAGCATCAAAATGGCAGTATGAAATTCACACATAACAATATTAGCGTTAAAAGTAAATGGGCTTAATGCCCTAATCAAAATACACAGACTGGCAAATTAGATATAAAGTCAAGAACCATCAGTGTGCTGTATTCAGAAAATCCATTTCATGTGCAAGGACACACATAGAATCAAAATAAAGAGATGGAGGAAGATATACCAATCAAATGGAGAGCAAAAAGAAAAAAAAAGGCAGGAGTTACAATCCTAGTCTCCATTAAAATAGACTTTAAACCAACAAAGATCAAAAGAGACAAAGAAGGGCATTACATAATGGTAAAAGGATCAATGCACCAAGAAGAACTAACAATCCTAAATATATATGCACCCAATACAGGAGCACCCAGATACATAAAGCAAGTTCTTAATGACCTACAAGGAGACTAAGACTACCACACAATGATAGTGGGAGATTTTAACACTCCACTGTCAATATTAGACAGATTAACCAGACAGAACATTAACAAGGTTATCCAGGACTTGAACTCAGACCTGGACCAAGCAAACCTAATAGACATTTACAGAACTCTCCACCCCAAATCCACAGAATATACATTCTTCTCAGCACCACATTGCACGTACTCTAAAATTGACCACATAATTGGAAGTAAATCACTCCTCAGCAAATGCAAAAGAACAGAAATTATAACAGTCTCTCAGACCACAGTGCAATCAAATTAGAACTCAGGATTAAGAAACTAACTCAGAACCACACAACTTCATGGAAACTGAACAAATGGCTCCTGAACGTTGACTGGATAGACAGTGAAATGAAGGCAGAAATAAAGATATTTTTCAAAACCAATGAAAACGAAGACACAACATACCAGAGTCTCTGGGACACATTTAAAGCAGTGTCTAGAGGAATATTTATAACAATAAATAGCCACATGAGAAGCAAGGAAAGCTCTAAAATCAACACCCTATTGTCAAACTTGAAAGAGCTAGAGTAGCAAGATTAAAAAACTAGAAGCTAGAAGAAGACAAAAAGTAACTAAGATTAAAGCAGAACTGAAGGAGATAGAGACACAAAAAGCCCTTCAAAAAATCAATAAACCCAGGAGCTAGTTTTTTGAAAAGACCAACAAAATAGACAGCTAGCCAGACAAATAGAAAAGAGAGAAGAATCAAATAGTTGCAATAAAAAATGGTAAAGGGGGTATTACCACTGATTCCAAGGACATATAAACTACCGTCAGAGATTACTACAA